ACTGTGCAGAGAGAAAATGATGACAAGAAAATAATTAAGGCAAAATGATATGAACAGCTGAAGAAACTGTGAGGGAGGAGCAGTGTTTTAATTTTCTTTGCATCCATTCTTCTTATCCATTGGGTTTTTATGTAATCCGCATTCCCAGGCATGTAAAATAAAATACAAAAGTACATACAGGAGTTCACTGCCCTCCCTTTGTCAAGCAAAGGTTGTTGACATCAGATGGATATCTGCATCACTTGTTCTCTAACATCCCCTCGAGTCACCAATCTGTTCCAATTCCTTACACTCTTTCCTTGAGGAACGTTATTCTAGTGTTTAACTGAGTCTCCTTCCAGGTTAAGTCACGAATGCTTAATCAAGATGAGCAACAGATTACTATCTTTCTGCTGCAGTTTCTTATATACTTGAACACAGTTATGACATCTCTCTCCAGGAGTTGTCTTTAGTTCTTTAGTCTTCGAACCTACAGCTAATTGAATCAATCCTGCTCACTACACCACCTTCACACTTCTTGGCTGACATCTTACCCCTATTGCTTCTGTCAGTTATGCTAACCATATTCCTTATTTTCCCAACTGTGAAGTTCGATACCAAAAGCTGTCCTAGTTTTGTCTTTGGTAACTTTCTCCCTGCAGACTGACACTTCCTTTATTCATTCCTCTCACAAATGAAATGGTTACAGAACCAGTCATTGTTATTCCTACTGTCCTTTGTTTGTTGTGTCATACCTTTTTTCATTTTATCACTGTCTTACTCATGTTTTTCATTCATGATGGTCCTTGATTATCGGACCTTGCTCCTGCTTTGCATGTATTTCCATCTCTGACATGGTCACTCTTATGTTACTGTATTTACTGCCCTGTCACTGGATTGCACTAAATGTATTCTGTTTGCACAAAGTGCTTTTTAATTCTTCAGTTCTTTAGATCTTCCTTCCAGCTGATGCCATCTTGAAATTCAGGCTTAGTGAAGTCTATTATTTTTCTTTTCCTCTTTTAAAAGTCGTAAACGCTAATTTTCATGGCTGTTCTCACCCAATTTTCTTTCTGTGTTAACCTTCTCAATCTGTCTCTATCCACCTTATAGTTAAACAGAGGAGACTCCTACTTGTTTTACTAGATATAACCCATATCCAAACAGTGTTGTCTGTGCTTGAAAAGAACTTGATAAATGAGCTACTACTACTCTTCAGTGTCATCAGGCCCTGTGATTTGAAGAATGCTCTGGTGGCTGCTCACAAAAAGCTCTCTCTGCATTTCCTTCCAGATTTGATAGTTTTAAGCGAACATATATCACAGGAGGGACCATATCTTTGTCACTGGTAAACTAATTGAGATTATTCAGTCTGGAGAGGAGGAGGCTCAGGGGATACCTAATCTCTCTCTACTATTCCCTGAAAAAGGAGGCTGTGGTGAGGTGGGGTTTGGTGTCTTCTCTCAGGTAACAGTGACAGGATGAGAGGGAATGGTCTCACGTTGCACCACAGAAGATTCAGAATGGATATTAGAAAAAAAATATTCTCAGAAAGAGTAGTAATGCATTGGAACAGTCTACCCAAGGGGTGAGCGGAGTCACTGTTCCCAGATTTTGAGAAATGGAGATGTGGCACTGAAAGACATGGTTTAGTGGGCATGGTGGGGATCAGTTAATAGTTGGACTTAGTGATCTTGCAGGTCTTTTCCTCAGTAATTCTATAACTCTATAACCAGTAATCAGTGGCCCTAATTCCTTCAATGTTCTGCATCTCTGAACACATGAATGAAATTCTGATTTATGAGGCTACAAATCTTCTTTATTTCCTTCTCCTACTTTTCCTGAAACCATTATGTCTTGTTTATATTATCCATTCATTTATGTTTGCCTAATGGTCTGTTCTGAGCAATTATTGATACATATGGATCTTATCATAAAAGCTGTCTATGTTCTCTCATTTAACTTAAGCCGGTAGCATTTCTGTCTCTTTGTCCTGTTTACAGTGAAGTGCAACTCTATTCATGTGCTTGTTCTGTAAAAGGTATTCTCAGTATGGGAGAACCTCTTGAAGTGGCCTGGCTCTCCTAATAGAGTCCCATATTATTTGCAAAGGCAAATGTGGAAAAATGAAGGGATGATCCCAAATCTCAAATTACATCTTTCTGTATTGCACATAAAGATGGCTGCTGGTCCTTCTAATGTGCTGTGATGGCAATGATATAAGTTGGGTTCAAAAACAGCAACTGCATTTGCTTCTGTGGCAAAAGCAATGGTTTAACTATTACATGTCTTCAAGGAAAGTTACTGTGTAGTCATTTGAAGAGAAAAGAGAGATTAGAGTCAAATGCTCCATTTCCAACTGCAAGCACATGCTCATTCTGTAAAAGGGTGTAAGTGAAAAGCACCGGGGCTCAGTAAATCAGGAGAGGACTGGAAAGCAATGTGCCCAAGCAAGGAAAAGAAAAAATTAAGTCTTTCTGTGGAAAAGTTGAAAAGAGTTATGCAATTTGAAGCTTTTATTTCTATGTTTTTAGTAACTTAAAGTTTTAGAATTATGTCTCTGCTATAAATCTTCTTAGAGGAGAAAACTGTTCATAAAGTAAGACTCTAAATTTTATAGCACTTTGTTGGATTAGGTCTACAAAACTATCCATCTGAAAAGTAGTAAAGAAATTAATTACAGGAAAACAGTTTCTTTTTAAGCTTTTTATGAGACAAGTCATAAAGTTCTGGTACTGACAGCACAGCTCTATGTCTGTTAAATTCTAGTCAGTATTACTATAATTTTGTAAACCTTCAGAAAATTGTTCACTTTTTGCATTCATAAAACTTGTTGGATTTTGTGAGGTTGGATAATATTGCTTAAAATATTGCCAAAGGTTAAGATGAATGTTTCAAAGCAAAAGTAAAATCATTTATAAATGTAAAAAACCTGCAGATTTTATCACAAAATAATTCAAAAATGGCAGTAAATCTTTGACCACACAGGGTTCTGAAGGCAGGTGGGGAGCATTTGCCCATAGTGAACTTCTTGAATTCGTTTGGCATAATTACCTCTTATGTTCATTCCTAATTGGATCTAAGCTTAAAGGTAAATTTTCCAAATGCTGTATTCAGGCTCAAAATTAGTGTTCAACTTTCTCCTTTCATGAATGCATACTCTTTTTTGCTGAAGAAATCAGTATATTTGAAATCTGGAGCATATTTAACAGTCTCTTCATTTTCCTCTCACACTGGATATTATTTTTGCTACTGGTGAAAGTGCTACTTATTGACATTGCAGCTGCACTTGTAAGATGTAGTCAAGGGTCCAGGCTTCATGGTAAAAGTGTCTTGTGCAGAAAGAGTCACTGTGTGACTTCTGCAATGTGTAATGACAACTCAGTCCCTGTGTAGAGAACAGGGGATGCGCTGGGGACCAGGTGACTGCAGCAGATTTCCTGCATGCACTTGAATACAGGAGCAAAGTTTAAACCAGAAAGCAGGTGATCAAAATAGAACAACAGAAACATACAGCTAAAGGTCACCTACATCAGTTACTCTATGACTAGCTTAAAATAGTGAGAGCTACTTTGAACAACTCATGAAGTTTTAAAGTAAGATAAATTAAGATGTTTTTATCCCCCAGTTATTTGACCTTTAGGATTTAAAGGTGCTCTCTACAATTATTAACATCAGTGACTTTCTAGAGGAAAAACAAAAAGTCTGAGAATACTCTGTAATTCTGTAAGACCTGGGGCTTTTGAAAAGCTGAAATATCATGCTCATGATAAAGGAGTAGGAATTTGGAACGCTCTGATGAGATATGCATATTTTAGTAGAGTTGAGTGAAACTTAATAAATTCAATACTTCCAGGGAAATCCATTATGAAGCCAGAGAGAGGGGAATTATCTTGAGACGTTTGTGACATTTTGTTTTATTTGTGCCTTCAGTCACTTCTGCTAACTACTTGTGGTCGGTGTGTTGCAAGCTCTGATAGGCTAACCAAACAGGATTAAAATTATGTGTGCCGTGCAAGTCTACAATACTCCAGCCACCATCAACCAAGAAATAGAAGCAACGCATGACATCTGCTTAGTGCTCTGCCCAACTTCATTAGTCATGTCTGCAGAGAGGATTTATTGCTTCAGATGCAATGCCATGCTATCACAGCAGCTGAGCTATGAACTGGTCTTTCTGCTTGAGCAGTGTCAGCTCATTCAAAATTTGCTTCTAGCTCTTTGTGTCGTGCCTCAGTGCACATTAGAGGCATGGTGTGCAACACAGAGCTGCCTTTCACTGCCTGCCAGCACTGTCAGAGATCCTGTCCTCAACGCTGTCCCCTTGCAGGTAGGAGAAGCATCATCCCAGTGTCAGTAAAACACCAAATCCAAGATTTTTCTTCCCAGAGCTCACGTGAACCTTATGTGATGCAGAGCTGTGTCTATATATAGCAGATTTGGGGACATGTGATTTGTAATGTTGTTGGAATTATGTGAAGGATGAATAATATCTCAGTAGAAGGTGCCAGTTACAAGCAAACACAAGGAAAAGGAAAAACTGAATCTTAGAAATGTTATTCCTTTCAGTATCTAAAGGGCTATAAGAAAGAAAGAGAAAGACTCTTAAGCAGGGCCTGTTGTGATAGAACAAAGGGAAATGGTTTTCAGCTAAAAGAGGGGAGATTTAAATTGAATAACAAGTAAACATTTTTTACAACAAGGGTGGTGAGGCACTGGCACAGAGTGCCCAGAGAGCTGGTGGACGCCCCATCCTTGGAGACACTCAAGGTCAGGCTGGACAGAGCTCTGAGCACCTGATGGAGCTGTAAGAGTCCCTGTTCCTTGCAGGGCAGTTGGACTAGATAGACTTTAAAAGTCCTTTCCTGAAATGATTCTTTGGTTCCACTGCAGGTGCATTACTAAACTGCAGTCCGAGTCACAGGTGTGAGCATGTGCTCTCAGGATCCTAATTTTGTTTCTGAGAAAGCCCTTTTCTTACTCCGTTGAATAGTCAATGCTGTCTATGTTTACCCCTGCAGTGATGGCTGGGCAGACAGGTACGATGTGACAGACGGGTATCAGCGTGAAGCTGTTGGTGGAATAACAATCAAGCTCCAGTCTCCTGATGTTAAATGGTTTGATGATTACTACTTGGAGCTTCGTCCAGAAACCAATCACCGAAATCCATGGTTTCAGGAATTTTGGCAGCACAGGTTCCAGTGCCGTCTGGAAGGGTTTCCTCAAGAGAATCCTAAATACAACAAGACTTGCACAAGTAAGTGAAGTTATTTCTGTTGCTGCATAAACCAGTGTGACTGAAGGTGTGCTGAACAGCTCGTGTTGAGCTGATACAACCTGGTCTAATGGAATAGCAGTTGAAATAAGAGCTGGAATTGCAACCCTTGGTCTTTCCAGAGTGACAACAGCTACAATTTTAAAAGTACTCAGCTCTCTAAAGAAACAAATCGATAGTACCACAGCACCTAACTACTCAGTATTTGAAAAACTTGGTGCTCCTCTACTCTTCTAGGCATCTAACTATTTTCAAAAATATTGTCGTCTAGTATTCAGTGCTTCTTTTATGAAACAGGGTTAATCATGCTTTCTTATCTCAGAATCAGAGAGTCTATTTATTAAAAAATTATCTGAAGTACAGATGATAATGATAAAGATTCTTTTACTATTTCAGATAGAAGTCTATTTGATTTGAAAGATTTCATTTGGATTTCTTTCAGTTGTGAGTCATTTTAGAAAATGCCATTTTGACAAAGCTGATATTTTTCATGAAATTGAACTGATTTTAGCAAAAACTGCCACAACATTTTGTCATTTTTGCAAAACAGCAGCAACTTTTTTTCTTCCAGAAAGATGTGATGCCTATGTAAAGATTTTTGTTTTTCTTCTGCTAATTATTCTTTGTCTTATGAGATTCCTTTCAGTACTAAGACAATGCTCCATCGCATTGTTTTCTTGAAGGGCATAAACATTTTAGTTTTGGTTGAAACATCCTTCATCCTTTATTTGCATGAAATCCATGAACTACAATTGAAGTTTAAGATACTCTTTTCAGGGCTGATACCAATTTGAGGTATTGTGCATTGTTGTCCTACAGCATGGAGAAAATCAGTGCAAGCCTTAAAAGCAGATACTGTGAGTATATTCACCAAAGTGCATATGTAACATCAATTTTCTCCATGCGTGTTCAGATGCACAAATACTCTCATGCCTTTCCCATACCCTAAGATGATGGCAATGACTGCAAACCAACGTCTGTGAAAGGAAATCTATATCATAGTCCTTGCTCACTTTCTCATTATTTGAATTTTTGAAATGGTTTCAAACAATTTGAAAAAGAAGGAAGTGAAAGAGGAGACCTAATGGCCAGCTGTCCTGATGGTGAGTCGGAGATGTAGCATTAAAGCTCTTCAGACGCAGTAAGGCATTAACCTGAATCTCTTTCGCCAAGTTAAACATAAAGGACAGATGTCAGGCTTTTCTTCAGATTTCCAACAGATTTGCTCTCACTGGAAAATGGTTTTGGGATTGGATATCTTTGACAGAGAGAACAAGACCCCTTGATGGGCACCCTGGGATGATCCCATGCTGGGCATCAGTGCAACCACATCTCTAAGCCCCAAGGGACATTCCCTCCTAAAAATGTCAAATTTCCACACACCTGTGAGACCAAGAAATGGCTTTTGGGGATTAAAGTTTTTAGCTTTATACAAGAAAGAAATCACACCTAAGTCCCCTTTACGGTTTATAAACCTTTTGATTTGTACAAGATTGCAGAGGAAGTTTGCAGCTGAGGTGGAAATTGAATCTAGAAATCTCAAAATCTCACTGTATGCCTTTAACATTCAATTGACCTTCTTCTAGCATCTTTTTCTGCTAACCTTCCAACACAGCCCAACACAGACTGTATTTGCTCTATTGACAGGTACTGCATATTGAGCAGTGAACTTCATTGATTTCTCCACAATAACGTAGATCTCTTTCCTGAGATGTCAGTACAGTAGATGTGAGCAGATATAAGTTCATAAAAATCTGTTTTCTATCAGTGTTCTCCATCAGCAGTGACATTTCAACTAGATTTTTCAGTGTATCCTCTTTTTTTTTTTTAACTTACTTTCTACAAGCATTGGGAAAATCTAATTTCTGGATTATATGAAAGATTGGTCAGTGTGAAACATGGGTGCCTACAGTCTTTTATAGGGACTAAAATAAAATTAATCCCTGCAAAAAAATTATCATAGGATAAAATACAATTCACCATTGGAAAAACAAACAAACAAATAAATAAATAAATAGGGGTCCAGAAAGATATTATTGTAAACATGAAGTCTTTCAGTTGTGGGTATGAGGCAATGTAGTCACAGACCTTAAGTAGCACATTTGGAAAAGCACTCATCACAGAAGGGTTTCACACAAAGAAATCTTAAATGAGCTACAGCTTAAGTAGGTTCCTAAACTCAAGGAATTTCAAACACACAAAGAAACGCATAAGAATCACGATCTGCTGAACTGTAAATCAAGGATGGAGAAAAAAACTAATCTTCCAAATATATTGTTCTAATTATTTTTCCTTCAGCTTTATTGTCATATTCATTGGTAGGCCATGATAGCTATAGTAAAAGAACAAAAAATGGTTTAGAATAGCTTTAATTCTTTCTTGTTGCTGCAGGGCAGAAAATGTTAATTCATTTGTGTATTTCACCAGATTAAGGACACTGTTCCACAGCAATGTGTCTTCTCATTAAAACTGTACAGGATTTTCACAAAGAAAACCCTTAGTCATCACATTACTCAGTTTTATAGTTGTGGTTGTGGTCTAGGTACATCAAAATTCTGAAAAGGAAATTCAGTGACTGTGGTGGTTTAACAATTGATGTATGTCTAAGATCTATCACTCTGCTCTCTCACTTTTCCTCCTCAGAAGGACAAGGTGAGAAAAAAAATGTAGAAAACTCATGTGGCTTGAGACAAGGACAGGGAGATTGCTCATCAGTTACCGTCATGGATGGCACGGGATTATGGGCAATGGGGGCTGCTCTCAGTCCATAATATGTCATCTCTGAGGCTCCTCCATGGTCACCCTTCTCCACATGGCTCCCTCCCACAGGACACCATCATTCCACAACTGATCCCACATGCAGCTCTCTCAGCACTTCTCCATCATGGCTCCATCCCATGAAGCCTACCCTTCAGGCTCTGCTCCAGCACAGTCCCGTGGGTGGCAGTTCTTCCAGCCTTCCTGACCCACCATGGGTCACCTCTCCAGGTACTACGGCTCTGGCCCAGGGCTGCTCCTGTGGGGGTATCCACAGGAGGGCTGTGCCTCCTCCAGGCTTCATCTGCTGCTGCACAGTGGGCTCTTCCATGGCTGTGCATGGAGATTTGCTCCATTTGGGGCTCATGGCTGCAGGGAGACATCTTGCTCCTCTGTGGGCCTCTCTGTGCCTGGAGCACCTCCTACCCTCTTCCTGCACTGCTTCTGGGGGCTGCAGAGTGCCTAACTTTAACCACATTGAGTCTGGAATTCCCTCACTTCAGGATTCATAAGTGTAATGACAACATTTGCCCTCTGTGGTCACTAGTATTTTGTAGACTATCCTGAGAACTCCTGAGTGACAATGTGTATGTATGTTGCTTCAGATTTATCCTGATAAGAAAACAGAACTGCACCCTTCATTTTACTTTGGTAAATACATTCTCTTCTCCAACAGTTGCATACAAAATCCAGACATACAGACAAAACAAAACAAAAATAAGGTAAAGGGATTTCCCAAGATCCCAATTAAAGATACTGAGCTTATTGAAAAATGCTTACTACTACTTGAGATAATGATAAAATTAAAAACATAGGGCTGATTGGTGTTGATAGATGAGGCCATTATCAAATGAAGTCTATTGTGACAGGAGAAGGGGAAAAGATTTCCAAATGAAAGAGGGGAGCTTTAAATTGGATACAAGAAAGTTTATTAGAATAGAGTTGGTGAAGCACTAGAAGAGCTTTCTCAGAGATCTGTTGGCTGCCTGTCCCTGTAGGCATTCAAGGTCAGGCTGGATTGGACTCTGAGCCTCTAAAGCCCCGAATCTAGCTGTAGATGTCCCTGCTCGTTGCAGGGGTGTTGGACTAGATGATCTTTAAACATCTCTTCCAGCTCAGATGATTCTATGACTATGAGTCCATGAGTGTTAAAAGCAAAAATCATTACCTTGGTGGGAAAAAAAATAATAATTATTCTCCATCTACTGGCTCTAATAACATGAAAAATAAGCAAGTGTTAACAATATAAGCAACTTAGTTAAACAGTAAGAAAATAAGTACAGGTATGAAATGAATAGACAGTTTATAAAGGTATGAAAAACAAGACTAAAATTACCCAAATAATAAAATACAAAAAATAAATTAAAAAGTAAATAAATAAATAATGAGAAATCAAAACCATTTGTTATTCACTCATTTTTCTCAAGTTCTAAAAGATCTCCATCCCTTCACATACACTTAGTTCACACTGAGGAGAAAATTCAAGCATGCATGTCATGCATCAAGTCAAGCATGCTTTTCATTTGCAGATTTGAACAAACTTAATCCAAATGGCCATCACTGCTGTTGCTAAGTACATTGATTTTCTGCCTAGTTAGAGTACTACAGAAAGAGAGAAGTTTGCAGGTTTATCTGACTTGAGTTTCCATGTAATCATTTCCATGCCACAGGAGAGATGCAACAAGCCACCTCCAGACCACAAGAGTCAGAGTGAAGAGTGTAAAATGCATCTTGAACAGGAGACGTGTAATGGCCTCTGAACACCAGGCATTTTACAAGAATTGAATTTGGCTTCCCCTCTGACATGAGTCAGATTTTTTTTTATTATCTCATACCACAATTCAGTGAAGGTCGTGAATAAGTGTGCAACTTGAACCAGATGAGTAACACTACTTGATCATTTTCAGGTCAAAGAAGGTTAATCCAGTGCCTTGCTATCAATTGCCCTTGCACCTTTAAAGATTAGGTGTGTATATGTTTGCTTGCTCACAGGCAAGTCTGTTCATCAGAAATCAAATTCTTTTTGCTTCTGGTCCTTTTTGTCCTGGCACATTACGACAAAAAGGAAACCCAGTTCAAAGGAAGTATGTTGTGAAATTCTAGTGGAAAAAGCCAAGTCTTCAAAGTCAGCTGGAGCAAAAATAGATTTATTTCATCTGTTTGTTAAATTAATCCTTTTGCCTTTGCTCCTAAATCACTTTATTTTTCCCATGATACATAAAATC